ATGGGGTGCTGGTGGCCATCACCTCCTTGGGCAGGGGACAGGACTGCCAGCTGTGCTGCCCTTGAGCTGGTGCAGGGGGATGCCCAGGGCAGGCCTGAAGCAGAGCAGAGCAGGGCCAGGAGGCAGCTCCAGCAGCCCTGGCTGCAGCCCCTGGGGCAGAGGCACAGAGCATGGAGCTGCTTCAGGGGCCAGCCATGAGTGCAGAACTGCTCCCCTCAACTCCTTCTCACAAATAAAGATACTCACTTTGTGGAAATTAAGGTCTGGAAAACATGAGGAAAAATAATGGGAAAGAGAATAACTGAACTTTGGAGGAAAAACAGGACCTGCAAAACCCTCCACCCACTTCTGAGCAGGATGTCACTGTGATGTAACCCTGGAAACAAGGAGTACCCAATCCCATGACACTAGCAGAGCAATCCCAATATTAAATCAGTGAGACTGAGCTCAGGCCCAAAAATCCACTGCCTGCAGAGAGTGAAGGTCAGGCACTGTGGGCACACTGCATTTTTAGGAAGGCCAGACTCACATATACCACATGAAGATACACTGAGCAGGGCAATTGTATTTTTTTAATTCCAAAAGAAAATATGAATGGCAACATGACCTCCTGGTAGCCCCACATCCAGAAGCAGCTTCTTTCTCTGTGTCTCAGGGACAGTCATGTCCTATATTAGCCACCTCTGGTGCCCTGGAGTTGTGCAGCTCATACCTTCTCAGTCTTACCAGACAGAAGACTTGCTGACCTGTGACATGGTTTACAAGGTCAAACGGGACCTTATGAACTGATTGCTGGAATAAGTAAATTTTAGAATCATAGAATCATTTAAGTTTAGGAATAAAGTGTGACCAAAAGGAGAAAACCAAAGACTGAAACAGCCAATGTGCCTCACTTACATTTCCAGCTGCAGGTGGACAAACCCTCTCTGAAAGAAGCCAACAGCTAATGAGTTGTCCTTCGCAACGGTTCTATCGAAGGCCTGAGGAGAAAAACACACACACCCCAAGGGTCAGGGAGGGTATCTCCTGTTGGTGCCTGGGTGTAGGCACCCAGCTGGTCACATCCACGCTGCACTCCTGAGGGGTGCAGAAGCTGTCCCTGGGCTTGTGACCAGCTCCTCTGGACTGACAAGCTGCAATCATAGCTGAGGGGCAGGAGACAGCTCCAGGTCATCTTTCAGGTCCTGGCTCTGTATAAGCTGAGCTTCAGGTTTTTATCCTTCCTTGGTAAAACACACTGGATGTAACAAACGAGCTGTCTGCCATCCAGCACCTTGTAATGAGAAAAACTGCACTACCTGGAGCAGAGTTTGCCCAGACAGTGGGAGCAGCAGGACCAGACCAAGCAGGGAAGACTGTTTGAAGCAGTCTACAGTGATGAATAGAAGGGATGCAAGGGAGAAAGCTGAAGGGTTTCAACTACACCTACAAGTCAATATTTCTGGTCCAGTTTCCCACCTAAATACAGGCAAGTATTAGCAAAGCTGGTAGCAGCTCATGGTTGATGGCTCAAAGTTACAGTGTGCTGGGAAAAGTGTCTCAATGTCTTTGTGAGAAAGGGAGGTGTGCTTGGTCCCTTATCACTGCAGAGAAATGGTAGGTAGGTAACAAACCAAACCTGAAACCCTGCACTTTCCTGGTACTGCCTAGAGAGGAATTGTGCTTCAGGGGTGAAAATATGTTGCAGGAGGCCAGGGAGTGACTGTGTCTCTTGATGAGGTGGTAGCTGGCTCTGACAGCAAACCTTGCTTTAACAGTCTGCTTTACTGTGCTATAAAAGAGAAAAAAAAAAACCAAACATCCAACCGTTGACCTACACGGAAGCATTGTTGAGCCTTTTCCCAGTCAATGACTATTCAGACACAGAATCACAGCCTATTTTGGTTGGAAGTGACCTTAAAGGCCCTCTATTTCTACCTCCCCTGTCATGGGCAGGGACACCTTCCACTAGACCAGATTAATAAAATCTATACGGAGACCTAGGAAACACAGCTAGCACCCAATGTACTGCAGTGTCTGGGCAGTCTCCGCAGCATCTCTTTGCAAAGGCACTCTTGAGGAACATGGGAGACAGCTGGGTGGGTGTCGATTATTTATCTACTGCCTGAGCAAGGGCAAACCCATGGCTATTACACCAGACAATTATCATCAGGGCTAAAAAGTCTCTCAGGCACCATCATGCTGTGCTCACTATTCATAGAATCATAGAATTGTGTAATCATTCTGGTTGGAGGGAACCTGGAAGACCAACAAGTCCAACCATAACCTAAATCTCTCTACCATAACCCAATTTACCAGTTCAGTGCTTAATATTGTCCCTTACAGTGACTGCCCTGCCCAGGGCTCCACAGTTCTGTCCCAGCCCCAATGGCACAACCTGAGCTCTTCTTACTGCTAATTAATAAAACAGCTTAAATGCATCTTCCCCACTGGGCAGCTGACGGACCGACAGACAGACAGGCAGGCAGGCAGGCAGAGAGACAGACAGTTGTGTGGACATGCTGGGAGCTGAGACAAAAAGGCTTTTCCTGTGGCTGTTTCCCTTCCTGCAGCAGCCCCGGCAGCTGCTGCTCTCCCTTCCCAAGGGGCAGCCCCAGGACATGGGGGCACCTTGGCAGCCTCAGCCGGGGGGCAGGGCTGTCTGGGGACCCCGGGGCTCCTCGCTGTGTCCATCGCTGCTCCCAGTCCTGCTGGGCATGCAGGATACAAAACTCCGGGTTTGAATTTGTCGGGCGTTTCAGCGTTATTTCCTCAAAAACGAAAAATGGGAAAGTCTTGCTGCCCGTTCTGGCGCCCACCCCCCTGCTCCTCTCAGTGGGTTTCATAGAATCCCAGACAGGTTTGGGTCCGAAGGGACCTCACAGCCACGGGCAGGGACACCTCCCACCCGCCCAGGCTGCTCCAAGCCCCACACAACCTGCCCTTCACCACCGCCAGGGACGGGGTCGCCAGCATCATCCCGGGA